ACCATAACCATCCTGTCATATTACCTGTCCTAAACCTAACCATCCTGTCAGATTACCTGTCCTAACCCTAACCATCCTTGTCAGATTACCTGTCCCAACCATAACCATCCTGTCAGATTACCTGTCCTAAACCTAACTGTCCTGTCAGATCACCTGTCCTAAACCTAACCATCCTGTCAGATTGCCTGTCCTAAACCTAACCGTCCTGTCAGATTACCTGTACCAACCACAACCCTGCCCCTTCCTCTTCAAAAGCCTTATCGAGTTCTTCAACAAGATGAGAAAGTGGCACGATATGGCCAGCCTGCCACCTGAATTCCGGCAGCGGACAGACAAGCTGGAGAGGAACTTCACTGTGTCAGCGGTCATCTTCAAGAAGTACGTCCCAATCTTCCAGGACATTTTCAAGCCTCCCTCCGATGACCCCCCCAGGGTTCAGAGGGGACGCAAACAGCGGTAGGCCCATTTCTTAGACCTGGATCTTATTCATTTTTGATGTGCATGTCTGCTGAATTCTTCTCATTGCCCTGCCATAATTAGTTTGGTTATTGGCTAATTATTTGTACTATTCTTGCATGCTTTAATCCTCCAATATACAATTGAAGCTGGTATTTTCTGACTAGAGCAGACAAAATGCCTTCAGACTCCAAAGCACTTCAGAAATTTGCAAGCTATGTTGAAAAATTACGATGATGAACTAAGTGTATAACAAAAATTGTGGAGTAAAAGTTTGAGTCCTGCACAGCCCACATACAGTATCCTTGTGCCTCAGGCAGGCTAGTTAGGCAAGCATTCCCATCGGTTCAGTATTAGCTTCCTGTTCGGAATGGTAAGAAGCAGATAAGAATCTGTGTCTTGTTTACGCTAAGAAACCGTGTTCCCCACTGTGGCCTCAGATGAACTCTGACTACAGCTTTTTCCACAGACGACATCCCTGCACCGTGACAGAAGTCTTTAACTTCTGCTGGACCCTGTTTGTGCATGCTAAAGGTGAGAAGCTATACAGTAACTATATATTAATTAGAAAGTTTACTCTGCCAGATGCATCCTCTGTGGTTATGCAGCTTTCGTTGCATTTGTACTAGTAAACTTCTTTTGTGAAACACCTGTACGTGATAGAAGGAAGGCCGTTGCACGACTGTAACCTTTATCGTACGAAGATAAAAAGACAATGAGAGTAAGCTGAGCGCTGTGTGTGGCCCAGTGGGTTAGCACGCTGTACCTGTCATTGGAAGGTTGCTGATTCAAATCCTAAAGTCAGTGTAGTGTGATTGTACCATTGGGCCTTTGATCAAGGCCCTTAACTTCCCATTGCTCCAGGGATTGTCTGACCCTGCTTTTACATTGCTTTATATAAAAGCATCTGCTAAATGAATAAACTGCAGATAGATAGGATGGATGGTAATAATTTACTTGAGGGGTCAGAAATAATGTAGTAGTACACTCTTACTTAATGTATTAATTAACCATAAGACAAGTGTTTATTACGTACTGATCTCATGTTCGTTCATCATTCATCAAGCATAACGATTCATGTATTTCATGCAGTTATTGTATTTGTTCATGATTTGTACTTGAGTAGTGTCTGAGTTGATAAGTTACTTGTGACCCCTCAAGTGTTACTGAGTGGGCACAAACTAGTGCAAAATATTAACAATGGAAAAATAAATTAATAAGGGGTGTGTGTGCAGCCTGCAATGAGTTGGTTGCCTCAGCCTGGGTTCTTCCCTGCCCTGCGCCAATAGCCTCCGGGTTAGGCTTCGGTTACAGTGGTTAAAGAAGATGGATGGATGGATGGATGGTTGGATGGATGGATGGATGGATGGATGGTTGGATGGAATTAATTAGGGGTGTGCATGTGATGTACATAGTCTATAGGTATGTATGGTGTCATTATCTGATTTAAAATGCTTCTAGATGTAAATGTGTACATATGCCTGAACGTGCATACTGTAAATGTGTAGTACAAATGTCAATGCACTGCTGAGAGCAGAAGCAGCCTCTCTGCACATTTCAGGCTGCCCACTTTAAGAGTGCACCTCACAGAAGCTCGAGAATGCCCTTTAATAACATGGAGGATTTGTCTGCTAGGTGACACAGTGCTGTAAATTGTTTAAATCCTTTTCAGAGCTGGCAGGGGGGCTGTCTAATGAGAAGTCCCATTCAAGGCAGGGATTATGGCTCTGAGCTTTTGTGTCCCGTCCAGGCAGGGAGTGTGTGCGAAGGGTAGTGTCAGGATAGGGTGGGCAGGTGCCTGTCCACCTGCCGGACTGAGACCGTCCGCTTCTTAGGGAACAGATTTATTTCTATAGTCTATAGCCTTCTTACCAGTCTTTTGTGGTTATTAATTGAAGTCATATATTTTATAGAGGTCTCTTCTGAATACTGGTCCATATACCTATCACCATGCTAACTGTTGCTGGACAGCATGCCAGACACATAGAAGATACCTTTCTTCGCTGGGTAAGATTTTGGACTTGCAACAGAAATGCCTCGATAGGGACACAGAGTCAGGGTTGTCCAAAATATCTCTTTACTGATGTGCACTCAGAGGGTAAAAGCCTTCGCAGAACTGTAGTCTGCTTTGGTGGAGATTCATGTTACAGGTACGTTATGTTGCTAAGAATATGTCTGTTGAATATCAGGACCATGATTTCATGAATGTTAGAGTGAAGTGGTGGGTGAAATAATGTATTATTTACATCTTTGCTCACATTTTTGAGTGCTTACCTGTGGTATTTCTGTAGGAATATCTTGCTGGTGCAACAGACTGACTGAAAGTAGATCCTGGAATACTTTTGTTGGGCTGTGAAAACAAGGCTTTAGTGTCATTCTTTTAAAAAAAAAAAAAAAGAATATTAAAATGCAGCCACTGCTAGGGGGTGCACATATGCGTCTTTCCTCAATTTGCCAGCACACGGGCCTCCCTTGTCATAGCAACTGCTCGTAGATGACAAGTTGAGGCTTGCCTGAGAAGTGGTCTGGACGGTGCCTGGCCAAAGGGCTTAGCGTCCTCCCTGCTCCCTCAGCCTGGGATTCTGCTTTAAGTGTTTCAGCCGACCTACAGAGCCGTCACTGTGCTCTCTGCAAAACTGTAGCTGCTGTTACCTGCCGCTCAGGTTCTGCTCCTTTCTCTGCACCGATCCAAGGGAGGTTATCGCAAAGGTACGTCAGATCAGGACTGACGATGCGTGTGCCGCTGGTCTTTTTATAGAAGGTATCATAAAGCTAGTTCATAAATCCTGTAGGATCTTTCTGTAAGGGCTGACAGCCTAGATAACAGACTGAATCAATAATGTGTGTAATTATTGTGAAATAATTACTAATATTTTCATATTACTTTGGGTATGGCAGTTTTAATTTGCAAATTAGTGTGATAATTCATACATGATTAATATTGATAGTAGTAGTTTTTTGTTTAATATGAATAAGGCATGCATGACCACTATTGTATTGTAATAGTGAATATTATGTGTATCAGAAGACAGGATGAGCAGTCTGTGATATGCTGCTCGTTTTTGAGGTTCCAGCTGGCGTAGCACAGCACTCTGGGTAAGATGAACCTGTCGTGCAGCGTGTGTATGTGACTGTAAGAGGGGAATCGGCCCAAAACTTTTGCAGAATCTGCAGGCAGTGGTTTAGGCAGCTCTGCCCGGGCCCATATCCCTCCCCACAATGGTCTGTTGGGAAGTGATAAGAGAGGCTGGTGGGAGTCCTCCGTCAGTGTAGCAGGAAGTGGTCGGCCCCTTCTACTCTGTGGGGCCCTGAGGGTGTGGTGGGAGGCGGAGCTCGCCTAGAATGACTCCTGGGAGTTCCGAGCGAACAAGTTGCGTGGGCAAAAGGCGGCAGTAAAAAACATCGGCGGTACAGGCAGCACGCCTTAATGTGTCACTGCAGCCCGTGCCACTGCATGCAAGCTGGCCGCTGCGGTGGCATGTGAGCACGAGGTCGCATTTACCGATGCGTACGTGACGACGGCCTGCCGGACGCGCCAGTGCCGAGTCCGTGTGAGTGCAGAGATGAGCCCTGGATCTCTTTCTTATTTTCTTTTCTCTTCCTGCGGCGTCCCTCTGCCAAGCCGGTCTGATCCTTCCCCAGGGGGGATACTCACAATGAATGCATGGAGTCCAGCCAGGCTGGCCTTTATATTGCTGCCGTGAGAGATGGGAGGGGGCGGGGGGGAGATGGGGATGTGGCGATTCCAGTATTCGGGACGTATAATTAGTAACACTATCTGCACACACTGGGTCCGGGGATGTGGAAGTTCTGATTCTTTATTACTCAGCACTGCAGTCACTGGCAGTGCTGGGATGGTTACTTTTGAAATGTCATATGTTACAGATTGTTAGTTTACCCTGTTAAAAATGTAATAAGTATTGTAGCTATTTGGAATACTTCATCAAAGTAATGTAACTTATTACAGTTAAATTCTTTTTGATTAGTTTTCTAAATGTTTTGAACTGGGTAATAAAACTGAAAATTCCCAACAGGGGGTTGGGGGTGCGGGGGCTGAGCTGGAATGGGACATTAGGCCTAATGGCATGCAAGGGGACACCCTCGATGAACCCGCGTCACCTTGTCTGTCGTAGGGAACTTCCCCATGATCAGCGATGACCTGGTGAACTCCTACCATCTGCTGCTGTGTGCACTGGACCTGGTCTACTGCAACGCTCTGCTCTGCTCCAGCCGCAAGGAGCTCCTCAACCCCGCCTTTAAAGGTATCGTGGCCAAAGGGCCACTCACAGTGCTGAACACAGACAGTACCCAGTCACAAGCAGATAATGTCCAGTCACATGCAGACAATGTCCAATCACATACTGGCAGGGTCCAGTCGCATACAAGCAATGTCCAATCATATACAGACAGTGTCCAGTCACACTTTTCCACATAGACAGTGTCCAATTACACGTCTCCACAAAGGTAATGTCCAATCACACTCCTCCATGCAGAGTGTCCAGTCACTCTTGCATCCAACAATCTAAACAAACTGCTCCACATAGACTGTGTCCAGTCATACTTTTCCAAATAGACTGTGTCCAGTCATACTTTTCCACATAGACTGTGTCCAGTCATACTTTTCCACATAGACTGTGTCCAGTCATACTTTTCCACATAGACTGTGTCCAGTCATACTTCTCCATACATGTGTCCAGTCTTACTCTATACAGGAAGCATCAACTCACAGTGCGGTGCATCTTTTCCACTACAGACCATCATATTAAAAGAAGATCACACACCCCATAGTCAGTATTCTTACAGCCGGTCTGTGAGGGGGTCCTGGTCACCATCAGCAGAAATTTGACCCTGGCAGTGTCAGTGCATTTTATCCATTTGTGGGTGACCCCAAGAATGTTCGCCTAAGTGCTTATAAAAGGTATATGAGCATTTTCCCACTTGGATTTACGCCAAGGAGCTCTTGGTCATAAGCCCAGATCAGTACTCCCTAAACCACCCTCTGTTCCATGAAAAAAGCAGCGGCACTGTGTGTTCTCCTCCCCCATGCTCTGCTCTCCCTATCCATTAGTCTCTCCCCCCCAGAGTGATACAGACCAAATCCAGGATCAGTGTCCGTGTCTCCCTGACCGTCAGCCGGGTCCGATCAGGAGCGTCATTAGTGGTGGTTGATGTCTCCATGGGGCTAGCAGAGCTCCTCTGAGCTTAGTCACTGCAGATCCCATGGAGCGTGAATGCATTGTGACACGTCTCCCCCAAACACGTCAAATCCGCATGATGGCGGCCGTACACGCATCCCAAAAAGATGCACGTAGCATGAAAAAACAGCTTCAAATGCGATTTTAAGGACACACCTGCGGGACCTCCAACACCACCTGTGCCATAAGTGTACCAGTGAGCACCTACGCGTCGCCCCCTGCAGGCCTCCCCGAGGACTTCAGCGCCAAGGACTTCAGACCAGGTCTGGGCTCACTCTGCTTCATCGAGCAGCTGTGCCAGCTTCACGATGGCCTGGTGCTGGAGGCCAAGGGTGTGAAGGAGCACTTCTGGAAGCCCTTCATCCGGAAACTCTTCGATAAGAAGGTGGGTAAGGAGGCAGCGGGAATTGGTTAGGGTGTATCAGAAATGGAGCAACCAGCAGTCACGGATTCCCGGCGAGCATGGTCACCTCCATGTGGATGTGGGGCTTAACGAACCGCAGGTCAGAGGGCATCAAGTCCCCGGTGGGGCTTTTGTTTTTAATAGGCTGAATGCAAACCAGCCATGCTTGAAATACACAGGTACACCAACATATACCAAGTAAAGAAATCAAAAGAGGCGTGTGCGTTTGGTTGACATGATCTGCTTCTTCTTAGAAGATACTGGATTTTTCCAGCTCTGTGTGGAATAGTGAGCTACACCCTGGACTGGATCCCAGCCAATCACAGGGCACTTGGCTGGGCTACACCCTGGACAGGATCCCAGCCAATCACAGGGCACTAGGCTGGGCTACACCCTGGACTGGATCCCAGCCAATCACAGGGCACTAGGCTGGGCTACACCCTGGACCGGATCCCAGCCAATCACAGGGCACTAGGCTGGGCTACACCCTGGACAGGATCCCAGCCAATCACAGGGCACTAGGCTGGGGTACACCCTGGACGGGATAGCAGTCCATCACAGGATGCCAGGCACACACACATGCACGCTCACACGCTATGGGCAATTCAGAGATGCCAGTTACTGGCTCCACTTGTATTTGGACTATGGGAGGAAATAGGAGCACGGAAAAGGCCTTCGTGACACGTGAAGGACATGCAAACATACAGAGTGGGGAGCAGTGGCGTTACTGGGATGCCATGTTGGGTGGGGATTTGGGTATGATGGGTGGGCACCAGTGTTGTGTTTTTTCAGAGGTCCTGGGGGTGTGCCTTGGAGGATGAAAACTATCAACATTAAATCACTAATGGTGGCTAAATCTGGTCAGTCTGTTGGTTGCTCAGACCATCCTGTAGCCACGCCCCTGGAGGGAGGGGCTAAGAAGGCTCTGGTTTTAGCGGCTGACATTTTTTGCGGCGGCTTTCAGCTGGATATTTTTACTTGGGCAGTTCTGGTTAGAGATGCTGCTACTTGGACTCTTTGGGGGCCACTGGCTCAGCTGCTGACTTGTAATATTTGCACGCAAAATCAATTAGCGTATAAATCATATTGTCCTGCAGGTTTGTAACTGTGGAATTTCGACTGCAGTGTTTTTCTTTGCCATGGGTCGGTGATGCGGGATTAAGGTTTTTTTTTGATGTTCGGTGGTTGTGGCTGGATCTGCGTTGCCGCATTGTTGGGCAGTGCAAGTTCTGCGTTGGGCGGGATCTCACATAGTCCTGCTCCAGCCCCAGTCCAGCGGTAACTACAGCGTGAGCCGCTACCAACATTCATCGTACGAGGGCTGTTTCTCTTTCCTCTCTCTGCTTTGCAACAGGTTCTCAAGGGGAAAGATGAAAGCCTGACTGGCTTCCTGGACCCGGCAAATTTCGGAGACAGTCTGTAAGTCTGTTGGCTTCGTATTCTGCTGAGGAGGCCGAAATCCTCGCTTAGCCGCTTCTGTGAGAATGTGATTGCGTGTGTGTTTGATGTGCTAAATGCTCGATGTTATTTGGATGAGTGCATCTTGCCGCTGTTTCGCTTCCGTGACAGATGAGAGAGCACAGGCAGGCTGTTGAATAATAATTCACCCTCTAGTCATACTTGTTTCAGCCCAGCTGGCATGTTGTATCTGTCACTGAGGTTTCTTTGAGTTCCAGTAATTTTTTTTTCTGGGGAAATAACACAAAATCCAACCTTCCTGTGTGCTAGCCTGGACTTTTATCTCCCCCTGCTGGCTGATGTTGGATCTGCAGTCTCTCTCTCTCTCTCTCTCTCTCTCCTTCCCCATGTGCCCTGATCGTCACCATGCCTGTGTGTACTTGCAGTGCCTCTTTGGGCCGGGTATACGAGGAGCACGTGCTATCTACGGGCAGCCTGGACGAGAGGGTCTTCCTGGGTGAAGGTGCCAGCGAGGAGATTGGCACGCCGGGACCCTGTCTCAGCTCAGGCGGTATAGAGGAGATGGAGAAGCCCACACACAAGCCACAGGGCACCGTGAGTCACTGAACATGTACACATCCCCATATGTTTGCCTACTGTCACGTCCCTGTCTAGGGTCAGGGCAAATGACAAAAGGTTCCTGTCACGCTAAAAACCAGCCAAACAAAAACGCCCAATCTCCTCGGTCTGTTTTTACTTCCAGTTATTTATTCACCCGAAGGATACATTTTACAAAGCGAAAGTAAGCCAGACTCCAAATTAGCACTACTGGTCGTGGCAACGACCAGACAACCACGGGCAGTATCATGGAAACAAATGCTGCTGTGCTCTAAGAGATCCCCTCCAGCAAGCCGGGCCTCCTTTAAAAACACAGCGCCGGCTGGACGACCAACCGGAACAACCGGGACAACAGGCGGAGTCATGAATCCTTCAATCCGGTCCCGACGTGTCTGCCTGTTAGGAGAGAAAAAAGCCCAGAGCATCCCCACTCTCATCCCAAACCATGCCGGATGTAACACTCTACCATTATGGTTAATTTTCAATCGAAAGCAATCAGCCAGACAGAATTACTCACATGCATGTTCATACCGACTGCAAAACCTAGACTAAGGCGAAGAGGCACATTTTTTTTATTTTCCCCTTGCTGATGAATCCCTTTGTGGGGGGAGGAGTCACAGCTCTGTAAGGCCGGCTGCCCACAGACAGACACGCAAACACTGAGGAACCCGACCCGCAGACTTTTGTCTCATTTGTCGCAGGCGCCGTCTGTCCGCGTGGCCACACCCCTGACAGGCCGCAAGTGTGCGCCGGATGGTAGTGGGGGCACGCCCGTCTCCACGGCGACGCAGACCGTGGGTCGCCTGCATGGTCTGCTGTCGGGAATGAGACAGGGCCCCAGCGAGAGGTTGGCCCAGACCCTCAGGTCCGCTTTCCGCCCTTCCGCTTCTTATTGTCGTCACTTGTTTACGGAGCATCTGTATCTCAGATTTAATTCACCATGGCGACCACATCCTCTTTCACTCACTGTGGTCTGGAGACTTTAGTTTTCAGTTGCCTTTTAATTAGCAGAATGATTACTGGAACACAAGCAGATTATCTCAATAGAGTGCTTGTGGCTGGTAATAAGAGAATCCCATCTCCCCTGCTTTGGGTATTTTTACCATGATGGCTGTGTGGTGGTTGCAGGTCTTGTACCAGAGACCCCAGCGAGGCCATTGCCTGCAGGCTAAGGGATATGTGTGAGCAGTTCTGCCAGCAATATCAAGGGAACAGCGAGGAGAACACCAGCCTGGCCCAAGGTTTGCTCCACAGCAGGCTCCATTGTGCTCGCAGGGCACTGTGTCTTACACTCCCAGAGTGTTATATTTTTCCTGGCTTTATCTTGAGGAATATTTGTTTGTGTAGAAATGGGGGCAAAGTACTTCCGTCTGGCTGAGGCTCTATACTACAAAATCCTGGAGTCTGTCATCGACCAAGAGAAGAGGAGGCTGGGTGATTGTGACCTCTCTGTACGTCTGGCGCTCCCTGCTGGTGATCCAACTCTGAGACATTTGACACTGATTGTCATCATTTATGACTGCAACACATTTATGGCTGACTTGCTGTTTCTAATACAGGGCATTTTGGAGCAGGACGTGTTTCATCGCTCTTTGCTCGCCTGCTGCTTGGAGATCGTCATCTTCTCTTATCGCCCGCCAGGAGAGTTCCCCCGAGTCATTGAGATCTTTGACTTGCCACCATATCACTTTTATAAGGTAGCTCACTGGGCAGAGCTATGCATGTTATCGACAGCACTGTGGGTGACCTTGATGGTTATTGATAGGAGACACTGTTAGCATTAGCATGAAGGTATATAATTTTAGTTTGTTTTGGGTTCATTGGGTAGTAGCAGCCCTGCAGTGCTGAGAGAAGCTCCCAGATGATTAAAGTAACCTCACCCTCCCCAGGTGATTGAGGTGCTGGTGAGGACAGAAGAGGGTCTGTTCCGGGAGGTGGTCAAACACCTTAACCGTGTGGAGGAGCAGGTTCTGGAGAGCCTGGCCTGGAGGAGTGGGTCCCCGCTCTGGGACAGCATCCGGGGGGCTAAGAACCGCGTGCCCACCTGCCAGGAGGTGAGTGCCCCTCCTCGCCTGAGTGCCCCTCACGCCTGAGTGCCGCACCTCGCCTGAGTGCCCCTCACTCCTGAGTGCCCCTCCTCGCCTGAGTGCCCCTCCTCGCCTGAGTGCCCCTCACGCCTGAGTGCCGCACCTCGCCTGAGTGCCCCTCACTCCTGAGTGCCCCTCCTTGCCTGAGTGCCCCTCACGCCTGAGTGCCGCACCTCGCCTGAGTGCCCCTCACTCCTGAGTGCCCCTCCTCGCCTGAGTGCCCCTCACTCCTGAGTGCCCCTCACTCCTGAGTGCCCCTCCTCGCCTGAGTGCCCCTCCTCACCTGAGTGCCCCTCCTCACCTGAGTGCCGCACCTCGCCTGAGTGCCCCTCACTCCTGAGTGCCCCTCACTCCTGAGTGCCCCTCCTCGCCTGAGTGCCGCACCTCGCCTGAGTGCCCCTCACTCCTGAGTGCCGCTCCTCGCCCCTTGTGTCTGTAGAGGGTCTCCTAGGAGATCTCAGAGGGCACCAGCCAGTCATTTGGGAAGAGGGTAACTTCACCAATGTTGGCCAAGGCAGCATATTATTAACAGCATTTACAGAAATGTCAGGTCATACCCAAGCAAAGGCTTTAATTAATGAATGAGTGCAGCCACTCATTGTTTAGCGACAACCCTGGTTAGCGACCATACAGTTAGTTAACGACCGACCAAAGTGTGTATTTACAACCAATTTCTGTACTCCTGCAACATCTCACACTGGAGATCTTTGAAGTAGAACATACAAATATGAAAGTAAGTGTAGAAGTCGTAAGCATAGTCACAGTCACACCTAGAGAGATATGGAGACAGACAGGTAGACACAGACCGACAGACAGATACAGACAGGCAGACCAACAGATACAGACAGGCAGACCGACAGATACAGACAGACAGACAGACAGATACAGATAGGCAGACCGACAGATACAGACAGACAGACAGGCAGACAGACAGATACAGACAGGCAGACAGACAGATACAGACAGACAGACAGACAGACAGACAGATACAGACAGGCAGACAGACAGATACAGACAGATACAGACAGACAGACAGATACAGACAGACGGATACAGACAGATACAGACAGGCAGACAGACAGATACAGACAGGCAGACAGGCAGACGGATACAGACAGATACAGACACACAGACAGATACAGACAGGCAGACAGACAGATACAGACAGACAGACAGACGGATACAGACAGATACAGACACACAGACAGACAGATACAGACAGGCAGACAGACAGATACAGACAGGCAGACAGACAGACACAGACAGACAGACACAGACAGACGGATACAGACAGACAGATACAGATAGGCAGACCGACAGAGACAGACAGACAGACACAGACAGGCAGACAGACAGATACAGACAGACAGATACAGACAGACAGATACAGACAGATACAGACACACAGACAGATACAGACAGGCAGACAGACAGATACAGACAGGCAGACAGACAGACAGACAGACACAGACAGACAGACACAGACAGGCAGACAGACAGATACAGACAGACAGGCAGACAGACAGATACAGACAGGCAGGCAGACAGACAGATACAGACAGGCAGACAGACAGATACAGACAGACAGATACAGACAGACAGATACAGACAGACAGACAAGGCATATGGATTGAGGACATTTCTTGCTTTCCAGGTCATGCCCCCCCAGCACTTTGAGAGCGCAGATGGGGCCACGGCCGGCAGTCCCCTCACCCCAAGCCAAGCGAACGAGTCTCGGACCAACGCCAGCGGGCCCACCAGGGGTAAGAACCATGCAGCAGGTGCAGAGCATGCTGTGCTGGGTGTAGTTATGCCATGTGACGGTCACTATGTGGTCCTGCAGTGCAGTACATCCCTGATCAAAGGCTGGGCATGTTTTAAAGGGAATGGGAATGTTTGTCCATCTCCAGCCCTCCCCCACACCCCCCAGCCCCACACCCCTGGCACACACTGCTTGCTGTTTATGGTTCTGATATAACATGCTTGTCTTGCTCCAGGTGCAAATCATTTGCCGATTAAACTGCATTAAAGTATATTAAATGGAGTGCGGGTATAGCAGGTACCTTCCCCATATACCAGCAAACCTGGCTTCTCGTTAATGAGCTGTGATGGACTGCTGTGAATGACGGTGCATCTGCTAACGTTCACCAGATACTGGTCCTGTGCAGTGATATACGTGTAGATATGCCTGTAAAATGTGTTAAATCAATTACAATAATTTATGCACTTCCAGCAACAGCACAGTAAATATTGTGATTTATTTTGGTGATTGTTACAGAGACAGAGCTCTACATGGAACAGAATTTCATAATTCATAATAATTACCTGGAGCATTTATGATGAAAGAGTAAACACTCCTTCAATGAAAGGTGATTGTGTAGTGAATGCAGTTAACAGCCTATATTCAGACCAGTAACGAGGAAAGTGTGTATGGCGCTGGTGTTGAGAACACGTGCTATCTAGTGCAGCAGCACAGAAAGAAGCAGGAGGGGTGGGGCAGGGGGACGACCTCTTCTGATAGCACCGGTCTGTTCCACCCAGGCATGCTGGCATCCCCTGCCACCCTCCATGGCCGTTACGGATCGCCGCCCACAGGCTCGGCCCGCCGCCGCCTCTTCCCGGACGGCGAGGCTTCCTCAGACCCCGCCACGCCCGTCAGGGTGCCCCAGTCACCCCTCATCAGCACCATCGCGGCAGGCCAGACGGTGGTCACCATGGCAACGGCAACCGTCACGGCCAACAACGGCCAGACAGTCACCATACCTGTACAGGGTAATGATTGTCAAACATTATTGACATCCGGTTCTGTAAGAGTTCTGTAAGGTCCCTATTTTTTTTTGGGAATTCTTTAGTTTTTGTACATCCCTTATTGCGCTTCAGAACAGAGCTTGGGGTCGGACCGTTCATATGTTGCCCTTAGAACAGTGTTTCCCAGTCCGCTCCCTCCCAGCAAAAATGTGGACTGTCTGTGGATCCCCAAGGACCAGATTGGGAACCACTGCCCTAGAGCATTTCCATTGGGCTTAGGGCCTCGCTTTAGGGCCCAACAGATAGGGACCATTCTGCTGAGATTAGGATTCAAACTGGTGACCTTCTGGTCACAAGAATAGATACTTATTTTGCTGAGCCAATGTGGTTTTTATGCCCATTTTAATCCTTTGGTAGTATTGTGTTTGCAGTGTTTTCAATTGTTATACATTGTTATAAAGTTGTTATGAATTGTTATAAAGATATATTCGATCAAATTGAAATTGTTCCAGTTTCGCAACGGCTGTAAACAGCGCTGTTCGTGCTGACTCCTTCCCTAGGGATTGCCAATGAAAATGGAGGCATCACGTTCATCCCGGTGCAGGTGAGTGTGACCGGGCAGTCTGGAGGGACCCTGCAGCCCCTCACCGCGCAGGCCCTAGCCGGGACCCTCACCGCGCAGCAGATCGCCGGCGTTGTCTCTCCGGCCACCGCCCAGGGCAGCCCCTCAACAGGACAGCAAGCCAAGAAGGCGGAGCCTCAGAGCTCAGGCACCAGCAAGCCCCCCAAAACCGGCTCCCTCTCGCTCTTCTTTCGTAAGGTACCACAGCCCCTGATATTATACCGTAGGCCGTGTGTCTGCAGGGCAGAGATCAGGCGTATTTACTTACATTATTCCATATTAGTGTTTCCCACCTGGTCCTTGGGGACCCCTAGACAGTCCGTGTTTTTACTGAGAGGGAGCGACAATGTGGACGTCTGGAGTCCAATGGGGACGTCTGGAGTCCTTGAGGACTGTCTGGAGTCCAATGGGGACTGTCTGGAGTCCAATGGGGACTGTCTGGAGTCCAATGGGAAGTCTGGAGTCCTTGAGGACTGTCTGGAGTCCAATGGGGACTGTCTGCAGTCCAATGGGGACGTCTGGAGTCCAATGGGGACTGTCTGGAGTCCTTGAGGACTGGGTTGAGAAACACTGAGCTATATATTGGGGTGGCAGGGTGACTTAGTGACTTATTCTCTATGCAGACTGACAGTGCTGACCCCACCCCTCCCTCTCTATGAAGACTGACAGTGCTGACCCCGCCCCTCCCTCTCTATGAAGACTGACAGTGCTGACCCC